TCCTTCTTATTATTATCAATTTTGTATTAAAGAATAATTTTACAAAGGAAAGAAATATATATGGACATATTTTGCATATAATTATATATAATTATATATGAAACTTTTTTTTCTGGGTTATACGTAAAAAAAGCTGCACCCAATGATATATCGACAATCGTCGTTTAATTTAAGCGTTTGAGAATCCCGGTACTGAACATCAATGATATCTTTTGTTCGACGTAAAATATGTATATACTGGTATATAGGGTTCGATTACATACGGTTGATTGATGTTACTATAAATAAAGATTGTGCGCAAAGCCTTCCTATTAGCAGGCGTAAGCTCTGCACACGTTACGTTAGTCTTAATCTGTGACCCGATCTCCGATGAAGCAGATTTAAATTAATTGCATGCGTGTTTGCACAACACACTTATGCAAGTACAAATAATTTATCGCCCTTTGATTGTTACTAAAAGCCCAAAATAAAATGAAATAAAGCAAATAATTTATTATCCTTCGATTGTTACTAAATAAAGCCTGAAAAATAATGAAATTCTTTAAGTAATTTTCCCGATTTTACTACAAGAAATTTATTATTAGATATGTATGAACTTTATACAACGTTCAAAGACAATTTAGCGACAATTTATCTTCCGTTAAAAATACGACATCCAAGTCAATCTTTACTTATTATATGACGTCAGAAGCGAGGATATGCGAATGATTCCTACATCTCGCAATTACATGTATGTATATAATGTTTTATTAGACGAATACAATTCGAATTTTCTATTTCGAAGAATTTTTACATGTATTAAATTGATGCGAAATTTATGCGTCTTAAGTAGAACCTTGTGAAACTCCACACGCGCATCATGTACGAGCAATTCATTTATCTTTCGTTTTACACAATTTTTACACAATTTTGCATTTTTTTTTAAGAAAACGATTTGAAACTCTTTTCTCTCCGGATATGAAAAACACACTGCGGGCAATATCGATCGACTCCATATATGTATTTATTTCGCATGCTTACAGACCTGCCTCGTTGACCTACAGTTCACCAAGATCAATTCCATTTCTGAAAAGTTGTTTATGTAAATACAAGTTACAAAAATCTCTTGCATAGCTTTCCTCAGTTCTGACGTCATCAGTCTCTCAAGAGAGCTGATCACGTATTTCAAATTCTTGAGGAACGTGTATATATGCGCTCGTGGATGCAGGAAGTACGAGAGCAGGAAATCGGTATATCTGTGTGCGTGTGAGAAAGAGAGATAAACGAATTGCTCATAATGCTCGTGTACAATTTCCAAGGTTAATAGCTCGCTTGTCTGGATGTTATATAAATATTCATAACGATAAAGAGAGGATCATCATATACATATTTTTTCACTTAGGCTGAGAACGCTTATAGCTGCTATTTTATCTCTCTTACGCTACGAAACAGAATTATAATGCACGAGTGAAATCACTCGTTCACTTACTTGACGGTAAACCAAAAAGATTAAATTAATCTAAATTATGCACTTTAACGGACTGCGCTGTGGCAAAAAGAAGTATAAGATTGCATTAATCTTATGCGCGCAATGATTGTATGTCTAAATTAGCTAATTGTACTAAAGAGAAATAAACAAAAATTCCAGCTTATGTTTAGATAATAATTTGTACGTGAGATAAAAACGGGGCACCCCGTAAACGGCTGTCATTACACATATGCGTGAAATCATGCAACGTTAATGCACGACAAGTACGCAATGTGGATATCCCCAACCGCTTTCAAACGCGTGTCTCTTACTGGTTTTTTCCTATATAAGGAAACCGATAAGAGTGGACGATCATATAAATCGAAAAGCAGCTCTCCAAAGACCGTCATTTGGCTGTTGTTTTGGGTGTCATTTAAGACGTTTCATTCCGTCTCTACTGGTATTCTTGAACTTGAAATTTGGATTACTCGCACAGACAATCATGAAATATATTTTTGCAAGTGAGTACAGTACGAGGAAATTTTACGGATTATTTTTTTTAAGTGCATAAGATATCTAGTTCCTTTTCGTTGATTTTCGGAATAACATCCGATACGTTCGCGTATTTGAGTAATACATTTTCGATGCTTTTTCAAGTCTTCAAATATTTAAAGAAAAAAAAACCGAGAATCACTTCCCACAGATGCTTTATTCGATGTTTTCGAGATTTCTGCATTTGTCTGCAAATTTGCATTAAAATGCGCATAATATGCACCTCATGGCGTGCTATTTTACTCGATAGTTGTGCAAGTATTGACCCTGATTTGGTTGGTCGCCTTGGCATTCCCGCAAAGAGACTCGTCGGACGACTCCATAATATTCGATAATGACAATGATGAAATGAGCAGTAGCACGCGCGCGCCGAGTAGCACCACGCCGCCGAGTAGCACCACGCAAGGAACAACAGACAATTGTCCATGTGTCGCGACTGCTGAATACAATCCGGTATGCGGCACCAATAACGTCACCTACTGGAATATGGGAAGATTTAATTGTGCGAAGAATTGCAATCCAGGTAGATATCACGTTGATCCTAAAATACACACTGCCGTTTCTTCTCTACGTTATTATATTAAACTTAAACGTACTTAAGATCAATTTTCACAAATTTGGTCTGCATATCACTTCTATTTGATTATTAAATTATTCATTAATTTCTCATTTCGACGAACCATTTATCTAATAACGCAAAATATTTTTTAAGGACTTGAGATAAGAGTGATCAGGGCTTGTGAGCCATACAGCCAGCTGAGCAGTAATTGAATACCATATGGTCTGCCGTCACTTTCGTACGATTGATAAATACAACATATAGGTAAAGATAAATGTGAATTTATTTAATGCTGATAAAATTATATAACATTTTATCTTTTTGCGTTATTAATATACTTTTTGTTTGTACAATAATATCGGTACATTTTGAATGTTACAGACTTATACGCATACAACGTATTCCATTAGCGGAAATTTCTGATATACGATCGCAAGCCATTAATTGCTATAGGTCATCGACATGTCCCAAACTCCATGTATAATTATTAAATACTCGATGTATTACTTATACATAACATTTAAACATGTGCATTTTTAACTTGTCATTGCTATTATTTTATGTAAAAACTATACTAGCTTACTGAATACATATATATATATATATATATATATATATATATATAATTATATATTAAGTTATATTACATTGCACAATAAATTATGTTTCTTTTGTAATTATATTAAATTAAAATTTAACATTTACATTTTATATTGAATGTAGACACAATGAACCACGTCTGAATGTCGCGGATCGATCCTCGGTTGAGAACTGCCTTTCTAGTTCATTATTATTATTTTACATTTAATTAAAAGTAAATACTCTATGTGATTCGAATAGTTACTTATTGTATTCTAATATAACTATTTATTTAATTAATTATAACAATGTTTGAACACATATATGTCACCATAGGAACCGCAATTCTTAAAAAGAAAATTTCTAGTTTAAAAATACTGCGAAATGAAAAATACAATTCTGTTGTAGTTGTCAAGTGACGCGACTGTGAAGGTAATAATTTTACTAATAATTAAAATTATTAACACTTTTGTGCAATGTAATAAATCTGATGAAATAGTGTGCTTACTTTGAACACAAATTAATTGAGCAAATCATTACAAATACTTAAAAGTTTTTTTTAAACAAATTTTAAAATTTTATATAGACAATTATATATATATATATATATATATATATATATTTATATAAATAATGTAGTTACATAAAGAAATTTATCCATTCTTATTATCAATTTTAGTTACATAGATATATATTTGCGTAAAAGAATAGATAAATATTTATTATACAAAGGATTAAAAACACATGCGCAAAAAGTAGGCAAAAAGATAAAATTTCCTTCATAAAAAAGAATCGATTTTCTCGACGCTAAATTAGAATTTCTTCAAAGTATCACTTATCTAGTTTTTACTCTCAGCGTCTCATATATTCGTTTTAATTTAAA